GCGCGGCCGGACCAGGCTTCAGTGCTAGCGACGGCCCAACAGCAGTAGGTGTTGGCTGCACCGTGCGTCCATGATCTACCTCGAAGTGCATAAAAGCAACTATTGTGAATTGTTCTGACAATCCATGGCACCTGGGTATGCCTCCAACTGTAAGACATGTAACACAAGGGACCACGTTCACACAGTGACCCGGAGACCCCGCGTATGTACCTGTGTGCGATGAGGACCTTAAGTGGCCGTGGGTGATTACCGATGCACCTGCCGTTCATTTCCTCCATGGCCAAAGCTGCCTCAGATGTCTTGCTGAATTTGATGTAAGTGACACCTGCAAAAGATCAGGAACAAGTTATGGCCATGCAGGAATTGAAACAAGACAGAAATCTGCCATGCCAAACACGACAAGCCAACCTCTTTCAGGTCCCACAAGAAACGTGGTTGAACCTTCACCACCTAATTTTGCAGTTGACCTAGAATTCCGTGATCAAATAGGGTCAAGACCATAATGACTAAGTCTGAAAATCCCAAGAGGCATGCCGAAGACACAGAGGTGATGACTGATCACTCCACTGAAGCGCGAGTAATCCCTCACCGCCGGCGCAGACAGAGGCGAGGCCGCCCTCTGGAGCGATACAGCAAATGGACCAAGTGCATGGTGTAGGGTGTGTGTGGAGGTGGATGCCGACGGACCTGCAAGCTGGGGACTGGATAGTGTAGTGTAGTGTAGTGCGCTACTAGTATGTGCGCCTGGGCGTGCCTCTATGGCCAGCTGCTAGAGGCTGGGGCTGATTGGTTGCCACAGTCTGTTTTTGCCTTTGCCTATGGCCTATGACTACACATAACTGATGTGTGCTGAATCAGTGACTAGCCTTGCTCACCATACATGCAATGAAATTAACAGCCACCTTTAAAAGCCAAATTTTCAACAATGTCTAGTAAAACTATCATTATTATTACTGCCATGTACTGCCATATATACTTTGGCTATGATATATGTCACACCAGGTTGCTGACCACCTGCCTATGAAATGGTTTGGTCCTGAATCCAAAGCATATTGGCAAATTCCAAAACTAGTGGGATTATGGCTACAACAAAAAAGCCTTGTACTTGATTGCATACTACCATGGGATACTCTTCAGAGCTTATTTAGTGCCTTTCCCTTCACTTTAAGTTTTACTTTGTGCTGCTATTACAAAAACTTTTGACCTGGCCTGGACCTGGATGGAGCCAACTACACAGCAGAGGTTCTGAATTTATGGCACACTTTTGGTTCATAGCATGGTCAAAGGCAAGATGCTTTTAGGCAATTCAGCATATGGCTGGTGCCACATATCTTGTTGTTGTACCTGTCATGTTTGCCCTCAAAGGGATAAATAGCTTGGAGCCTTTATTAAAATGACATCCATCTAAGATTCATTGTAAAATGACGTAGTTGAATTTTTGAAAAGTAATAGTCTGCTTGGATTGATAATGCAACTTGAGAACAGGTATACATCTGGAACAGGTACACAGCAGGAGAACAGGCACACAGCATGGAAGGAGCCAACTTTGCTCTGTGCCATGCTCACCAGGTATAAATTCTATGCATGCCAGTCTTCAGATATCTTCATGCATATCTGCTATTAACTGCAATGCATTTCACATTCATGATGGCCACTAAGTGGTGACTTTGACAGCAGCCAACAAATGTATGTAGTGGCTGGGTGTGTCATCTATGTGGTCACTTCCACTGAAATCTGCACTAAATCTTGAAAAGCCAAGTATAACAACCTTTGACTTGTTCCTGTTAGAAGCACCTCACTGCCTTTGAGGCCATCCATGGAAGATGGTTAACTGATCACAGCACTATATACCAGAATGCAATGCATGCATGCTGTGCTGAACATGTCCAACATAGCTGTGACATTACAGCAATTTCAGCTCACAATTCTAGTAAATCTGAGTGCTCAGAACTGTTGGTACACAGCCAGCTCTGCTCTGAGTGGGCAGTGAGCTAAAGTTCAAGAAGTGTGATGCTGCAATGACAATATCAGACACAGATAGTCCAAGCTGCTTTTGGCAAGCAAATGTTGTCAAAATTTTGTTCAAGTTCACCTGCCATATGACTGAGGCACACAAGCTCAAGGTTAAGTATACCAACATTGTATAAGTGTTTATCTCTAGAGAGACTATTTTGCCTGTTGGGCTGGGTAGAGTTTTAAAAAGTTCCTGTCAAAACATGACAGGCTCTCTCATTCCAACATACACTGTGCATATCAGCAATAGCTATTTCTTTAACTCTTATGCAGAAATCACCAGAACTACCATATATGTGTTCAGATCCTTGAGAAATGTAAAGCCCTGGCAGGTATACTTACAGATCTCAAAATACATCACATAAAAAAATAGAGCTGGATGTTTCATATGGTGCAAGGCACTGATGCAGCCTACCAATCACTGGATATCTTGACAAGATCTTGCTAGGGCAAAGCTAGGATTTAACCTTTAACTTGGGGCTGCATGTCAAAATTTGGTGTCCAAAATTGTTGATTTGAAGCACTGAGGGTATCATATTCTGTTTTATAGCATACAAATATGACTAGTTCACAGAAAATGGACAAATATCATGGTGAATCATATTTTGAAAGCAAATTTCACAAAATCTAACCTAAATAGAAGAGGACACTACTCTCTTTAGGCAGGATTGTCTGACAAAAGAATTGTGTTGGAATATGTGTCATGGTTTGCAGATTATACAATACTGTGCCTTATTGGTCAGGCTGATATGCAGGATCAAATTTATGCATCTCATTTAGTATGGTGCATCCAATTTTACTAGCACCTCACTGACCTGTACATCATGACACAGCTTGTGATAATCGCATTATACTTAATAAAAACATGTACTTACCCTTAGGTTCACCTGTTGCTCTGTCCTTCACAACCCATACTTCCGAGACAGTTCCATATTTGGAAAAGCACTCTCTGAAATCATCTTCTGTGATTGACTTCCCACAAACGATGAATAGTCTAGAATTGGGTGGATCACCATATTTCCTTCCTTGTTGAATCTTCCACCATCTGAACCCATGAAGTCTCTCATCTCACCATTCGTTCGCCGCGAGCTTCCACTTCTATAACTACTCGTGCTTCCAGAATCACCCCTTGAATCAGCCATCTTGAACAATGAGGACGATGGATGCCCTAATGAAAACCCTGCACAAAATGAGGCACACTATCTACTTTGGCAAATCCTCGGCGGCAATGCGACAATCCCGAAGCCATTTGTCAAAGATCACTGAGCCCAATTAGATAAGAGTTGATCACTAGCAATATTGAATTAAATGACCAGTATTTGTCTGATAGCAGTCCTGGAATAATACAGAATTGATTTTATGACGAAAGTTCCTTTAGATTATCGGTAACATCAATTTCCCAGACGATCACTTTCACTTGCGTCAAGTATCAAGTACAAGAATAGTGTGTATCATTTGGAACATCTCTAAAAGAAAGCTGTCACGCAATACAGCGCACTGTTACATATTTGGAACATCTTGTTTTGATCCGTTGCTAGCCGCGAGATTTAACTGAGCAACGCATGCATGGAAAAGCGCGCGCCGGCGCCATTATCTCTGGCCTGTTGACTTTTGGGAGGTCATCACCAGTATTTCATGCTGTTTTCCTCGCATGTACGCGTTGTATGCCCCGCTCCAATGCGCCCCGTTACGTCGGAAAGCGTTAAAGCATGTCCTCAAGTCTACAAACTCTGATAACCATGCCGATGAGACGTTTGGGGCAGACGGGATTCTGTCCCGGGTGGGGATAGTAGACCTGGCCCATTTCGGGGAATTTTTTAACTTACGTTAACCCAACACACTTGCCAGCAGATTTGATAATTTTCTGTGTTCCCATCAGTTTTGTGTATAATATAGTGCAGGATATCCTTACTAGTCCAGTAAGTTATGCCCTAATATTTTGGCAAGCAATGCAGACTGGAAAATGTGTTCCTCCCCCAGTGCATTTTAATAGAATAAAATGTCAGCAGCATACAGAAATGCCATTCTGATCATGGGGCATATGGGTTCTGGGTCCAGGGTCTATATCAGCAGTGAATAGCATAGCCATGCAGTGACCGTGTAATGTCCAGGGGATGTGCATTGATGCTGCTCCGAACTATTATTTCTTCTGAACCAGGTCACAAAATATTTTGGCGTGCAGTGACGCCACCACAAATCCCAAAACAAGAAACAAGGATCTTGTGCCACCAAGAGATGGTCAGATATTTCAACATTCTTTATGCCACCTATTGTTAGAAAAGGGAGGGTTAACCATTGGAGCTTTGGTTGTCTGCATGGCTACTAAATGACTATATTTTCCACTGAGAGTGTTCAGTTACAAAGTCATGTCTTGTGTTTAAGTATTTTTTTAGAATGCAAATGTTATTCAACTGAAAGAAAACTTCCTCACAAGAATTAAATCGAGGGACCCATGATGCTTCTCTCTCACTTGTTTTTGTTGAGCATAGGATAGCTTGTTGTCATACACTTATATGTGGCTGAACAGAACATTACCAGTACAATCTATAGCTACCATTTAGGCCATTTGGGCATATTTTCCATGAGCAATATGTCTCCAACTATGACAAGCTTGCATCTGCCAAAATTGCATCTGCTTTGTCTACCTGTACCATTGCTTGGCACATGGGTGTGTATGTTAGTTCTTGATTGGTGGTTGGTACAAGATTTCTGATGTGCTAGGAATGCCATTACATCACACTGCTTTATTGAATTTAGGAGATACCCAAAACTGAGTTGAGCTGGCTCTGGCTTGTTAGTTTGTGCTGGACTGTTACTGCATTGCATAATATGTATTCAAACTTCAGGGCTCAGCAGAGGCTGGATGATTCTCATAAGCAAATATGACATCCCTGAAGCAGGGTAATATTCTATCATGTAAGACCTCAGCACTGAAACAATTTGGCAGGAGTACCAATAGTCATGCCTCAGAGTTGCCACAAACAGACATGGGAATCAATAAAATACAGGTAAGTACTGCAGGGATATACTCAAAACATGTTACCCCAAAATTTGGGATATTGTGATTAGACAATCACCATACTGCACTGTGAAACTTGTGTCACCCCAACTTGCAGTGGTCATGATGTCTGCTGCTCTGCAGCATATACTATGATACATTCCAGTGCTGGGATATCACAACATTGTGTCATTGTATTGTATGGCTGCACACCATGCTCTCAACCTACAAGGCCATCAATATTTGCTGCACTGCATCCACAGCCATAAGATCTGTGACTTGATGCCTGATCTTGACATCGCAGGTTCAAATCATCAAGGACGTGCGGCGTCCGGCCGCCGGTGGGGCGGCGGCAGGCGGGCCCCGCTGCCGCCAGCGGCAGCGGTGCGAGGGCGCCGACTGGCCGCGGCCGCCGCCCGGGGACGGCTCCGTGCTCCGACTGACGGTGGACGTCGGCAGGGCGGATCGCGTGCTGCGCCGCGGCCACAAACACCGCTTCAAGGTCAGTGCTGGGCTGTGGCCACAAACACCGCTTCAGGGTCAGTGCTGGGCTGTGGCCACAAACATCGCTTCAGGGTCAGTGCTGGGCTGTGGCCACAAACACCACTTTAAGGTCAGTGCTGGGCTGTGGCCGTAAACACCGCTTCAGGGTCAGTGCTGAGCTGTGGCCACAAATCGCTTCAGGGTCAGTGCTGGGCTGTGGCCACAAGCATCGCTTCAGGGTCAGTGCTGGGCTGTGGCCACAAACACCGCTTCAGGGTCAGTGCTGGGCTGTGGCCACAAGCATCGCTTCAGGGTCGGTGCTGGGCTGTGGCCACAAACACCGCTTCAAGGTCAGTGCTGGGCTGTGGCACAACACAGCTTCAGGGTCAGTGCTGGGCTGTGGCCACAAACACCGCTTCAGGTCAGTGCTGGGCTGTGGCCACAAACATCGCTTCAGGGTCAGTGCTGGGCTGTGGCCACACACACTTCAGGTCAGTGCTGGGCTGTGGCCACACAACCGCTTCAGGGTCCAGTGCTGGGCCCGGTGGCCACTACACACCGCTCAGGTGTCAGTGCTGGGCTGTGACCACACACACCGTTTGCAGGGTCGATGCTGGGTCCGCGGCCACAAAAGCATCGGCTTCAAGGGTCAGTGCTGGACTGTGGCCACACACACCGCTTCATGGTCAGTGCCGGGCTGGACCACCAAACAACGCTTCAGGGTCAGCGCGGGCTGTTGGCAACACACACTGCTTCAGGGTCAGTGCTGGGCTGTGGGCCACACACCCATTCAGGGTCAGTGCTGTGCTGTGCCACACACACTGCCGCAGGGTGAGTTGCATGGGGTTTGGCCCACACACAGCCGCCTTCAGGGTCAGTGCTGGGCTGTGGACCACACCACCCCGCTTGCAGGGTCAGCGCTGGGCTGTGGCCACCAACACCGTTTCAGGTTCAGTGCTGGGCTGTGGCCACACACACTGCTTCAGGGGTCAGCGCTGGGCTGTGGCCGCACACACCGCTCACAGGGTCCAGTGCTGGGCTGTGGCCACACACACCATTTCAGGGTCAGTGCTGGGCTGTGGCCACACACCGTTTCAGGGTCAGTGCTGGGCTGTGGCCACACACACTGCCGCAGGGTCAGTGCTGGGCTGTGGCCACAAACACCACTTCAAGGTCAGTGCTGGGCTGCGGCCACAAACACCACTTTAAGGTCAGTGCTGGGCTGTGGCCACACACACCGTTTCAGGGTCAGTGCTGGGCCGCGGTCACAAATGCCGCTTCAGGGTCAGTGCTGGGTCACGGTCACGAGCACCGGTTCAGGGTCAGTGTTGTGCGGCGCGCTGTCATGCATCCGTGGCTTCACACTAGGTTTTTACCGAAACCGGGCTTCCAGGCGCGCCTGCTGTAGGCGTTATACTTGCTGTTGTGCTGGGATGGAAGTGTTCCTTTTTTGTCCGTCACGTTTGTCTGTTGCTCCAGTGACCAGTGCTGTCGTGTGGAAGCAAGTGTTGCGCCCCGTAGGTTGCTCAGCGGTAATATAAAGGAGATGCCAGAGTTGCTCTCACCCTGTGAGTTGGTAGACCCCACGGCACTGGACCCAGTGCGTTCGTGCCACACCATTGAATTGGAAAGCGGCGTTATCAGCTGGTGCTAGCTCCCCTCTGCCAGCTCCTCCCCCCCGTCCTGGTTAGCTCGGTGGACGGAGACGTGTCACCGTCACCGGTCGCCGTCAGGTGGTGGACCAGAGCACCAACCCGCCGCCGCTGGAGCTGCCGCCCGACGCCAGCATTCTGGTGCTGCCCGAGGCCGACTGCAGGCGCCACTACATGCTCTTCACCAACAGCGCTGGCAGGGTCACCAAAAGCTGGATGTGTGGGATCTGTGAGTGACAGGCTAGCAACACAGTCAGTGTTGGTTGTGGCTTTTAAGCATATCAGATTATGGGAAATGACTATTTTTAGGCTACTGATGCACCACCTTTGCAAGTTCAAGTCGTCTGTGATGAGAAAAGTCAATGCTTCATTGTTGCTGGTCTTCAAGTTATGCCTTGATGAAAATGATGGGGTTTGAACTCATTTTATTACATGCCATTTTTTTTGTTACGTTTGCATGCATTGTTATACCACATTTAATCCAGCAATATTGCATGTAATGGTACGTAAAAACCATCGTCCGATTGTTGCAGTGGCATTTATGGACGGTGACCGCTTCCACACAATCCTGTGCCCGGTGTATCCTTCCCGATCTCTGTTTGCGCCAGGTGGTAAAGAGTTCCCCAAGCAGTACGCTCTGATGCGGCATCTGCGGATGCGCCACCTGAACGTGCGGCTGTTCCGGTGCGGCACGTGCGACAAGGCGTTCAAGACGGTGGGTGTTGACGCCGCCGCCACGCTGGCGCCGATGGGCACACGGGCCCATTGACCGGTGCGTCGCCGCCGCTGCCGCCGCCACCGCCGCCGCCACCGCTGTCGGCGGGACCTCCGTTGACCCTTGGCCGTTGCGTCGGCAGAGGATGGTGCTGATGCGCCACTGCGCCTGCCACTCGACCCTGCGGCCGTACGTCTGCGGCGTCCTGCCAGAAGCGCTTCAGCCGGGCAACGGCGCTCGTCCAGCACGGGCCCGTGCACCTCGGCACACAAGTCGCTTCGCCTGCCACTGCGGCAAGCGCTTCCACCAGAAGGGTGAGTGGCGCCGGTGCGGGCAGACCTGGGCTGGTGGCACGAGGCGGATTTGGGCTGATGGTACGGAGCGTACCTAGGGTGATGGTATGGGCGCACCTGAGCTGGTGGTAACAGGGCGCACCTGGGCTGATGGTATGGGGGCTGATGGTACGAGGCGGACCTGGGCTGATGGTATGGGGCTGATGGTACGAGGCGGACCTGGGCTGGTGGTACGGAGCGGACCTGGGCTTTTGCGAGAAGCCCTCCCAAATGCTAGCGACAATGCAAAATCTGAGCTTTTAAGGAACGATTGGAGAAGACTACCTCCGCAGCCCAAGAAGAACGAGTCCAGTCTAAATAGCTGCAGATGTGTTAAGTCAAATTTGGACTCAAGTTGGCAAGTTGGAAGTTGGCATTTTTCATTTCATATGATGCCACTGTGCTGTATCACTTCGCTGTTCAGGTGTAGGTGTAAAGCGTGGCTGTTCTGAGCATATTTTCCATGAATTCTTGTTTTTAAAAAATCAGAACAAAGAAAAATAGCTTCAGAATATCACAAATTTAAGTGTCAAAGACATGAAAACTGCGAAAACTGTAAAATCATTGTTGCGCGGGAGATATTGCGGGGCGTTCAATGTGTCGCGGTGCCTGTGTTCCCAGCGAACTTGGTAGTCCATCAGCGGACGCACCAAAACTTGAGCAAGATGTCCGCGGCAAGCAAACTGGCGAGCTCGCGCCCAGCCTCGCCGCCACACCATCCGATCTTCAAATGTTTCAACTGCGACAGTGAACTGGACTCACTGCAGGCCTTCCGGGATCACCAGCAGAGGGTACGTGACTGGGCTGTGGCAGGTTACCTGGGCTCGCTGCAGGTCTTCCGAGATCACCAGCAGGGGTAGGTGGCCGGGCTGTGGTAGACCCCCCCCCCCCCAGTTGCGGACTGGACACCACAACTGGGGGGGGGGGGGGGGGGGGGGTCCCCGCGCTGTAGGTCTGTTGCAACTGGTGCGGGAGTGATAGGGGCCACTTTGCTTCGTATGACGCCGTTGGGTGCCTTAGCGTGTCCGTCTTCGTGGACTTAGATGTGTGATGAAATGCTCCGTCTTTGTAACATTAAAGTCTTTTTAAGCGCAGATATTATTGGTCACGCACAGACGGTCAGTTGTTATCGAATTAAAAATCAAATCATAAAACAAATTGTATATCAAGTTAGAAGAGGAAGAAAGTCCGGGGCGTCCACGAGCATTAATTGTCGAATGGGCGAGGAGAAATTACAGACGTTGTCCTCCCCACATTGTGCTACTTCTGTGGGGAAGGGGGGGATGCTGTGGCGGGGTGCCTCCGCCGCGCTGCTGCCGGGCTGTCGCTGGATGTGTGCGCCGCCGGCTGCGGCCGTCACACCTCTCCACAAAGAGCGAATTTATACTGAGGAGCCCGTTGGTCAACATACTGGCCAGATGATGTTAGCGCACGACTCGGCACGTTGTGACTCTGGTATACCCGACATCAACACACACTCTTGTGGGCCACGTAGCTAGGGTAAAACGGGTTGACCGGGGCTTTGGCGTGATGGTAGGTCCGGTCAGCACCATGAACGGCTGTCTCCCCGTACATAACTGTGCACCCTTAACCACGGTATCCCACTTCCACCTTTTTAGTTGATAATAATATTTAAACGGGGCACGAACGGAACCAGATGCAGTGATAATACGCCCAACTGGCGGGGATCACACGCAACCGACGTATTACACTGGCAATGGTCCGCTGGATGGCGACCCTGAGAGTCCCCCTCGGACCTCACTAATCCACGTGGACTCCATGCATCCGGCGCCCCACCACAATCGCGCCAAGCATTCACATCCGCCGGCGCCCACGTCACCCCACTCATTCTCGGCTCGCACAGGGATGGAACTGCCTCCCACTTTTTTATCCAGCGCCTTGGCATTTAACTGGCTAGTCTGCGTGAGCCCTCGTTACGATGAATTAAGTTTATTTATCACATTTCAAACATTCAGTACAGCCAAGTTTAAGCGCTATTTAAAATATACCATGTCAGTTTATCAGCTCGGCATCGACGCAGCTACTGGGCCGACATTAGGTTTCCGAAGCTGGACGACTCGTTCCCCTGCCTGACCTCCAGGGTGACGGCTCCCTATTCGAACGACTCTTCCCGCGTTCCGTTCACGGTGGGCGTCCCAGCATTTTTCGGCCACGCCCACCGCTCGCAGCTTTCCGCTGCTGCGCACGCGCCTGAGGCAGCGCCTCGTCCAGGACGGAAGCGTCGCCGTCCGGCGCCTCTCTGCCCTCCGCCTGCCACCTGCCGGAGGAAGCTTTGCATGACACTGCCCCACGGCGCGTCCCTTAGAGGCCTGAAGAAAGACAGCGCGCCCGATGGGACGGTGGAGCCCCTCGGCAGACGGCGAGCGACCGGCTTAACCTGCGTTCACGCCGTACGGTTTTCTCGGCTGGCGCGCTCCTCGAGACTCGGCCTGACCGGCCTGTCCGACGACCTAGTTCCTTGTCGCCCTTCCTTTGAGCGTCGAAGGCGGGATCTCTATCCGTCCCGAACATCCCGCCATCAAGCCCTCATAAGGCCTGGCGTAAACCACGCCGGAGGGGAGCATGCTGTGCGCTGTTTTCCCCTAAGGCATGGTACGCCGACGGATAGATCCAACTACCACCGCCGTGCATAGTCCGGCACCCCGGGCGGTCCCCACCGGTCCCTGGTCAAACTATGGCATATGCCTCTTCATGCCGTCACGCCTGAGGTCAAGTGAGAGACAACGAAACTAGTCAGGCGTCTTCTAGTCCAAAACGGAGAGTGAAACCATGTCTTCAAGTCGCGCTGCTCATCCACACATTGATGTGCGTGAGAGCAGGACCGCGGTCGTCTGGCTCCTCAGCCTTGCTGTAGTCGAGCCGTGCTACTCGAGCGCGTTCCACACCTATCACCCCTTGGTCACGATCACCGAGTGGCTTGATCTTAGGGAAAAGGGCGGTATATTGCGCACCGGACAGACGTCTGGCAGTCTGGCGGGAGGTCAGCTCCAAGGCAATCAGTCATTCAAATCACAGCAAAACAGGGAAAACAAAATACACGCGCACGAATGGTACGCAAAATCAGTTAATAACTCGGGCCGGACAAGAGATAAAGTAGAGTGAGAGGACAGCGCTCGTTGATGAAATCAGTGCGTGTGCGATGGACGGGGCTCGGGCGATGGTCCGGCCGCCCCGAGCAATGGAAAAAGAATTAAGAGAATCAGAAAAGACACGCCGTCCAACTAGCCAACCCATTTGCACCATGGTCAGAGGACACCGTCAGGAATGTGCAGGCGTGGCCGATACGCCGCGCCTGGTCGTGACGTGGGACATGACGAGCCGCCTCCACGTGGCCGCCTCCAACGGTAAAAACCCAGATAGCCACGGCGCGGGCTAACGGGCGAGCCGTCGCGCCGAAGCGTGCATCATGGATCTCGGACGCCATGCCCACCCACGCCGGGCGCGAGTACCGTCACCGCCTGGCAGAATCACCCCCAGCCTCGCTTTCACGCCGAACAATTTAAAAGGCACACTGCCAACTGTATTTACAAAACAAAAATCACTGGGACCTAGACGAACCATGTGACGCATCGTCCCCCGTCCTCCCCCCCCCCCCCTCCCCATTCCCTTCCTTAATTGCGGGAGTGAGACCGAGAAACATTGCCCGGCCGGGAGGGTCCTATGGTCAGTGCCCCCCCCCCCTTCCCCACCCTTCCCTAACGATAGGGAGGTACAGGTGGCCGTGATCCGAGCCCGCCCGTTGGGGAGGGGTCAGGGGACACGAGAGCGCCAGCCGTCCATGGCGTGGTAAGAATGGGGACAACAGCCTGTGGACTCACGTCATGTGCGTTGTCACCGGTGGCCTGTTGTTCGCGGGGCCAGGTGTCGCCTCCACTTCTCCTCAGCGCTCCTCACTCTCCATCGCCTCCGCCTCCAGCGCCTTCTCGGGACTCTCCTTTTCTCCAGCGCTTCGTCAAGTCTCCCTCCTTGTGGGAGACTCCACTTGCTAGCCCTCTTGCATGATCCGTAATTTTCCGTGATTCTTTCAGCTTTGTCAGCCCGCCCTCGCTTTTGCGCATGGGTCAATAGTTTTACCGCAAACCCTCCCCCCCCATCCATTGTGTTGCCGGGCCGGCCCAACCTTCTGGGGATCTGCCCCAACGTGCCCCTGGGCCAGATCTCGGGCGTTGCGTCGTCGGCGGCAGCGCAAGGCCCGCCCGCTGTCGCCTCGCGTGGCTCCACGCGTCCCCCTCTGGCCCATTTCCCACGTGGCGCTGCGCCTCTGATACCAGCTGGGTTAACGGCGTCGCAGGTGCGGCGGGGTCCTCGGGCAGGGCGGCGCATCTCTTCATATCAGACAAACATGCCTGCGCGCATGACGTTTGGCCGGTGCTCTGGCTTTTTCGCGTCCATTAATCTTGATCGGCCGGCGGCGGGGGGGGGGGGGGGGGCAGGAGTTCCCTTTGACGCCATGGCCCATTTGGGTAGAAGAGGCCACTGTTCTGGGCGTTTCGGGAGGAAAACGGCGGCTTACCCTACCTGACCGGGCGACACACACTGTTTTCCTTAAAAATCCGGTCAATGATGCTGACCGATCGGCCGGAGCATCGGACGGGTCCGCATTCAGCTCCCAAGCCCCGCTCGTCCTAATGGTCGTGTTTGGTTAGGCGGGGGGAATTACTGGCGATGGTCGGCCTGCTCGCCGTCCCACGTTCCGCTGGGGAAGCCTCACCTTTCCTGGACGGGTGGCGCGCGAAGTGGAAAGTAAGAAAATGCGTGCCTACACTTCCTGCCGCAGACCCAGAAGACGGGAGTGATTTGAGAACGGTGACCATGGTTTCAGTGCACCCCTTTACTGCCGGCGCTGCCGCCTCGGAGTCAGAACAACACCCCGGATACAAACCACTGCCTGAATTCAGGAGGACAGGAGGACTTGTGAGTGTCATGATAGCGTACCACTTAGCTGCTTGGTAGAGGATAACAGAAAAGGTAGCGCTAGTAATCCACGCACTGTAAGAAATTGGAGTTGGCATTATTTGTAAGGACGGCTACTGCCTTACAACACTGGAGAGCCATCCGGTGTCACTTACGCGTGTTTTTCCTTGCGTTGACACGGGACTTCAGCTGAGTACTTCCACAACTGGTGGGGGTAGATTGGAGTGGGGGATGGGGGGATTATTGAGCGTCATTAGTGCCACCTATGACCTGCTGATGCTGACAAAGATAAAACATGTTTTTGCGATCGGAGATTTGCCCTCCGTGATACCAATGCTAGGGCGAAGTCACCAACCAGTTTACCAAGGCCATGTTTTGCGAGGTAACCGGAGGAAACCGTGGCTATTGCGCGGCGAGGTCGCTGCTGGTGGTGCCCTCGGTGATTCTCCTTCGGCTCTCCGCTCGCAGGCCTGGCGGGCTGCTACGCAGGCTCCTCAGCCTCGGCGAAGGCCTGGAGGGGCGGCGACCGGCCAGTCCGGCGGCCGAGCTCGCTCTGCAACCGCTTCCGCCGCCGCCACCGCCGCCGCCGCCCAGTCCGGCACTCGGACGGGTGCAGACTGGTCTACCGGTGGGGCAGCTGCAGGCTGGTCTGCCGCTGGGGCGGCTACAGACTGGTCCGCCGCTGGGGCAGCAGCAGGCTGGTCTGCCGCTGGGACAGCTGCAAGCCGCTCTGCCCCTGGAACAGCTGCGGGCTGGCCTGCCGCTGGGACATCTGCCAGCCGCTCTGCCGCTGGAGCAGCTGCAGACTGGTCTGTCGCTGGGGCAGCTGCAGGTCGGTCCGGAACAGCTGGAACAGCTGCAGACCGGTCCGGAGCAGCTGCTGACCGGTCCGGGGCAGCTGCTGACCGGTCCGAAGCAGCTGCAAACTGGTCCGGCACTGGAGCAGCTGCAGACCGATTCTTTGCTTGTGCAGCTGTCTCCACAGCCAACGCCCGTGCCCGCCGCCGCGCAGCAGGAGATGTCGAAACTCAGACAGGTTGGGTTTGAAGGCGGGATGAGAGTGCTTTGATGGCGTGTGTCCAATGCCACATAATATTTTGCTTTGGGTAACAAACGACACGCAAACGGTAATAGCATTCCAGTAGCAACCAACTCATGGGAGAACGCATATCTTTACTTGTGATGACTGGACCCTGCCGCGTAGTATGGCGCCGTGGCCTGGCTCGCTTCTGTATGGCTAGTGTTAATCTGTCATGGCCTACTTAGTCTACTCAAGCGAACTATATATATATATATATATATATATATATATATGTATATATATGTATATATATATATATATATATATAATATATATATATATCGCCGCCCTCAGCACCGGCCACCGCCGCAGGTTCTCCGGCGTGCTGATGGTGGGCCCGATCCAGACGCGCTCGATGCGGCTGGCGCGCGCGCGCAACATGCAGCCGTTCGCGCTGCTGCGGGCCGACGGCGAGGAGCCGACCCTGGCCCGCGTGCTGCGCACTGCCGACCGCCGGGAGGTGAACCTGGCGGCGGCTCATCACGCCCCCACCCCCCACCCCGCCTGCTCCTCCCATGTGTCGTCGGCACTCTCATGACAAACGCGCTGACGCAAGCTGTCCGACTCTGCGCCAGTCTGTGACTGCGCCGACTCTTCCGTATGACCCAGCCTGAGAAAGCGATGGGGTTGGAAGCATCTGCGCGATCTCGGGTAGTCGGGCTGCGGCCTGATGTCGTGTCTTCCGGTTGTCAAACCCGTGCGTGATTGATGTCTGTTTTGTTACGCGGCGTCCCGCCGGTGTCTGTCACTGTCCGGTGTCGAGTGGGCGTGCCGCCGGTGCTGACCTCGACCCCGCCGCCGACAGCTGCTGATCCCGGCCACCACGGAGGACCTGCGGCACCTGCAGCGGCAGCAGGGCGGCGGCGGCCCCGGGCACGACCGGGTCGACGTAAGCACGGGCTAGGCGAGATGCTATGAAATTGGGGAGGGAGGGGGGGGGGGGGGGTTGGGAGGCGCTTGGGAGGCAAGCGCTGCTGCAGCTCGCGTCCGCGCAGCAGCATCGCTGGGAGGGCCTGGCGCCAGCTCGAACAAATGACACAATCGGCCGGGGCAAGGTGTGTAGGAGGGCTTCGCCAGTTAACTTGCACTTCGTTCCTCGGGAAGGTACGAAGGTCTCGATTGTGGCGCTGCCCTAGAAGCTAATGTCGCCTTGTTTACTAAAGTGCCGCGACGCTGAATTATGATTCCATTTTAAGGCTGGCGTTGTGATTAGGTTCCAAGACACAGCTCAACCGTCTTGAGGTGGGCCAGCTGACAGTGAACCAGAACACTTTATCTGGTACGGGCGCCGGCCTGACAGTGTTGCACTAACAGCATTGGTTAACGCTGTCTGGTTAATTATCCGGCATAAACAAATCATGGACTGCAGCTGCGCCACTTAACGGGCCCGACGGGTTCAGAACGCATGCAACAAGGTCCGCCTAACATGAACTTTGAGCCAGATCTGTACACACGAGCCTCTCCTGCAACCCGGCACGGCGGACCTACCATGCGCAGCGCCTCGGGCTTTGCCAGTGGAAAATGGCCGCTGGGTGACGCAGCGTTTCCCGCCAGATGCCAATGGTTGTCGTGGTAACGCGGTACCAGAGTTGGGTGACGCGGCGTTTCCCGCCAGGTTCCGGTGGTTGCCGTGGTTACGCAGTACCACAGCTCCGACGGCACGCACCTGCACGTGCAGCCGCCTAGCTCGGAGCGTCCCGACTGCTCGGAGGTGGCCGTCTCAAGGATCGAGGTGCCGCTGACGGACGGTAGGTCGCTTAACCGCCCTGACAGCCGTCTGACTGGTCAGTCTGAGGTCACGTGTCCACCTGCTGGCCTCTTCTCAGTGGTGCCGGCTGCTGGCACGGACTTCAGACGGTGACCTATTAAAGGCGAATGGAAGAAGTTCACGTGAGCGTGATCAGCATTATATGCTTTAGCTCTGATGGCTTAAAATTATGGAAAATTTGTTTATTTTTTAATGTCATTGACCACCATGGGACATTGACAACGGTATGCCACACTCAACAGCAAGAACCTGTGGCGAGGTCACCGGGTGGCATAGTGGACATGTACGGTACGGAGCTGAGACAATCATGACGTGGTCACCGGGTGGCATAGTGGACATGTACGGTACGGAGCTGAGACGATCATGACGAGGTCACCTGGTAGCGAAGTGGACATGTACGGTACGGAGCTGAGATAAGCGTGACTAGGTCCCGGGTAGCGAAGTGGACATGTATGGTACGGAGCTGAGACAATCATGACGAGGTCACCGGGTAGCGAAGTGGACATGTATGGTACGGAGCTGAGACAATCATGACGAGGTCACCGGGTAGCGAAGTGGACATGTACTTTACGGAGAGACAGTCATGACGAGGTCACCGGGTGGCGAAGTGGACATGTACGGTGCGGAGCTTAGACAATCGTGTTCTGCAGGGGAGGAAACCGACATCGACAGCCATTGACACAATAGGTGCTGCACTTATTGGCGACTGTTGGGTCTAGTCTCAGTGCATAGGGTCTGTCCGCAGTGCATAGGGCCCGTTCGCAGTGCGTAGAGCCTGTCCGCAGTGCGTGGGTATCGTGGATGGGGTAAGGCAAGGCGGGTAAGGCTCGGCCCCCCCCCAAAAAAAAAAATAGCTCCCGTCGCAAATCCTTGTAGCCCTCCCCGTCTCCCCCCCCCCCCCCCCATTACTACTCCTAGCTCTACCCCGTTTAACAGAACACCGTCGGTCTTGACAGAGCGCACACACGCCGGCGTCACTTCTGTGAGTTTGTGTGTGACATTTTGATAGCTTGAGTGTCCTGGAGCGGCGTGTTTAGCGCTGGTGTCGCCCGTGCGCCTGTTCGGTGGAGGGATCGCCGTTATGTTTACGTTCCCGAACGTCTGCCGTGATGATGACCGTATGTCTGCGATCGGATATGTGGGCGCTTGTTTGGGAAGCTGCTGTGCGGGCGCCGGGCTTGGGAACACATCCCCACGGGGGCCGGGTAGATCCATCCCCGGGAACCAGATAAAGCCATCCTGGGAGACCAGATAAGTCCACCATCGGGGGCCAGAGAGGTCCATCCTCGGAGACCAGCTTGGTCCATCCTCGGAGACCTGGTAGATCCATCCTCGGAGACCAGCTTGGTCCATCCTCGGAGACCTGATAGATCCATCCTCGGAGACCAAGCACACACGCTCCATGACCGTGTGTACCGTATGGTCAGAGTGATTTAGGAGGGGAGCATCCCGACGACATGACCAATGCCCAATATTGATTCATGTTACATACCCCGAAATACGATTTCGTCTCAGATTAAAGCCGCTGTTCTTGCGTGCAAAGAAAAAAAAACACGAGAAATGCGGCCGACTGGCTGCGATGTAAGGCGGAGCTCGAACGGGGACTAGCCTGCTAGGCGACTAGTCCACCCGTCCCTGGACTCAGGGCAGATCCAGGTCTTTTAAGTGGAAGGGGATTGCGGCAGTACCAGAAATCACAATATGACTTTCTCAGGACTCGATATAACAACCTTTCTAGACTATATGACAACAGACTTCTCCCGATGGCAGCACTGATAGCTGCCTTGTGTCCCTTTTTTGCTGTTTGTACACAGATATCAAACATTTTCCCGTTACATTCCGTGATTTTCCGACAGCGTTATGGATTGCATGTACCTGTTATCAATACACCTAACAGCTAGGGATGCGTACAAGAACTGACAGCTGCATATACCTATGCAACACATTTGGCCTGTGCAAAAAGCTGTAATCATGACCGAAACGGTACGCATTTTTGCCCATCCCAAAGTCACAGCTCGGGCATGTGCCCATGTATTTGTCAGACACGTTCACCGCGGCCGGCTGACCGTGTCAGCTAACGGCCCGGCGGTCAGCTGATGGATCAGTGGCCAGACGGCTGGCAAGCGAGCCGAAAACCGGCCTTGCTGGTCTGAATGAGTAGCTAGCGTTACGCGCAGCGAAACCGCCGAAAGAAAGGAAGTACACAGTTCCCTGACCTTGCAGGAAATGGTTGAAACCGATTGCAGTAACTTGTACAGGAGTTCTTAATTGTAAGAACTCAACTGACGTGGCGTACACAGGCATTATTATGTGGATAGTGATAACGGAATGCCTTAAAACCAGTGCAATTTTGAGGCCTTGAGGCCTTATATTTCCGCGGCAATAAAACATGGACTTGACTCTGTGGAAGGTGCTAACAAATTACTTAATGTCGGTGCAAGGCGGAAAGCAGGAAAGATTTTGCTGCACGTGTATAATGAAAGAGTAGGAACTATACCAACACTCGGGCTGTGTTGAGAATATGATGTCCAAGTACTTTAATGTCACAAAGACGATAGCCCAGAAAAACTGAGCTCGAGGCCTTACGGAAAATCGTCATGTAGATTTCAGATTTTTAAATGTGAATGGATTTGACAAGGCCTATATCCGACCAAAAATGCCCGAAAACACCCACAGTTTTGTTGTGGTGAAGGCACATTTTTAATACCGCTGTCCTGAAAGATGCGGAAAATATTCCATGTGCGTACCGAAGTACTGTATTTATGTCTTGAGCTTGAAAAACTGATCGCACGAGAGGTCAACGGTCTCGACTCAGAAAGTCATTGACGAAAGCTGAGGAAAATGTGTAATTTAGCCGGCCGGTGATTAATCTTTGGACGCTTGATTTGAACAATTTGCCTACAGCATTGCTACAGTAAAAGTCACGTTTAATAAATCCGGGCACGACCTCATGCTGACCGTGATGCCCAATCGTGAACTCTCCGCACGCGCTAGCACCACCATGAGTGACGAAGTGATGGTAAGCGCGAGCACATGTTGGCTTTCGGCATCGGCGTGAGGTTCCTCTGAGGTCATGGGATGAGCCCAAGACCGATGTGAAGGACTCCGGGGCCACCTGGATTGCCCTGGCCGATCAACATCTAGGGTCTCTATCAACATCGTAGGCCCTCCAAACCATGAGAAAACCCAACGCCAATGCGGACGGCATCTGAGCGGTCGAGGGTGCAGCGGCAGTTACATAAACAGCCCCCCCCCCCCCCCCACACGGCAGCGTAGGAATCCACGGGCAAACGAGAAGGGTCCAAGACCAAGGCGTCGGGGCACCTGAATGATCATAGTGCCCCAGCGGGTTGACATATGGGGCCCAGAGGCCACAGCGGACAGAGATTTCCCGGTGAATGAGAAGAGCCCATGAATCAGCCATGCCATCATTTTCTTTTCTGCTCATTGGTCCTTCACTTTTGCTTCCGGCTTTTCTTGGTCGACTGGAAACCAAAGGCTTCCGATCACTCACGTGTTGTGTTAAAAGCCGCGCGCGATCACGCGGTATGGCTGCAGAGTTCCCAGTTCACGGCATTTCCTGTGGCCGCTCTGGATATGTCACGGGCTGCAACTGCTGTTAGGTATGTTCCCAGTTCCCAGTTCACGGCATTTCCTGTGGCCCCTCGGGATCTGTCACGGGCTGCGACTGCTGTTAGGTATGTTCCCAGTTCCCAGTTCACGGCATTTCCTGTGGCCGCTCTGGATATGTCACGGGCTGCAACTGCTGTTAGCGGGGTATGTGGTCAGTGCTGGGGAAATTCGGCCAGTTTTCCCCCTGCGCCGACCCTGCGTATTATTACTGGGAGCAGACAGCAGACGCTCGCAAGCCAGACAGGCAGACATTGGGAGCAGACAGAAGACCCTCACATACCAGACAGGCAGACACTGGGAGCAGACAGCAGACGCTCGCAGACCAGACTGGCAGACACTGGGAGCAGACAGCAGACGCTCGCAAACCAGGCAGGCAGGCACTGTGAGTAGACAGCAGACCCTCGCAGACCCGACAGGCAGACACTGGGAGCAGACAGAAGACCTTTGCATACCATACAGGCAGACACTGGGAGTAGACAGAAGACCCTCGCAGACAAGACAAACAGACACTGGGAGCAGACAGCAGGCCAGGCAAGTAGATACTGGGAGTGTACAGCAGACCCTCGCAGACCAGACAGGCAGACACTGGGACCAGACGGATTCCGGAGACCGAACGGACCCGTTCGTACCGCAGCTACATGAACAGGAATCAGAGTGCCTATATCACGCCACTGTGGCAACACATGAGACTGGTAAGTGGCTAATGCGCTGTTTCCGCAGCGTGCAATGCTGGCAATGATGGATGGGGAGCACCGGAAGCTACTGATGATAGTAGGTAGCGCATTGGCCGAAAGAACCATCCATCTCACTACCATTTATTTCTCAATATCTCACCGCTAATTGGATGACGCTTGGTGTCCTTGGATGAGTATTAGTGATACCTCCACCAGAAAGTTTGTGTTGTTCGGTTTCAAAATGGTGGTCTGAACAGTGCAGCCATCAGTACCCTCATTTTCCATCTCTCCGACTTCGTTCTCCGCAGACAAAGGCGGCGTCGATAACGACAGAAGTGACACGTCGGGGGGAAATGTGGACGCATGAGTTGTTATTGCTGCGTTCTGTGTGTTGATTGATCAATGCGGACGGCATGCGTGCTGCCCAGCCTTACCAGCTGTCGCCTGCCACCCCCCCCCCCCCCCCGCCCCCCGCGCGCCATGAGAGGCCGCACTCATGCCTACGCAAATACACAGTCCGCGTGACGCAAATCCTGAAAGCTTTGCAGAGAGATTCACTGCCTCTCAAAGTTCAGGATATAAACATTCCCATCTGAGCTGCGTGCAGCGATTTTCGCACCCGCGCACCGGTACTCTGTGCACTTTGTGCTACGATTTGCACGTCGTCAAGAGCTCAGGCCTGGGCATCATTATCAGCATGTGATCGTGCCCGGATTTACCTGTCGCGGCTCTCGCGTGGCAGTGCTGTGCAGCGATTCGTTGTAAGAAGCGTTCAGAAAATCACCACGGGCGGACTGGAACGCACATTTTCTCCAGCTTTCGTAGGCGGTCTTTTGACGCGAAAATTTCGGCCTCTCGTGCGATCAGATTTTTTGTCAGTGTAGTAAAAAAAACTCCTATGTCGATTTTATAGTTTGTTGGGATGCAGCTCTGCTGCTAGCTTGTGGCGGTGCCTGGGTTCCCTGTTACCGGGGGCCTTAGGTGTTGGTTGTACATTTCTGAAATCGGTTTAAAGCCCTGAGCAGGGTATGGTCCTTTCTTGGAAATTGTTGAGAACACAAGTAGTTCTCTGCCCGTAGTCGTCGCTGCCGCGGCACGTGCTTCCAACACTAAAGACCATTTGTAGGGTGGGGAATTTCAACGATATAGCACATAAGCATTGACACAGCTTGGGTCGCCCGTGATGTGGCCTCATGGGCACACCAACCTTGAGGCCTCTCCAGCGTCGACACCCGGCGCTGCCGTTCGTTGCAGACGGGCCGCCGCCGGCCTCCTGCCGACGGGAGCAGCTTCTCTCGATGCCGACGAGCGCCGAGCTCCTCAGCACCGAAGCCGACGGCCCGGCGAACGCGGCCGACGACGGGCCCGGGCGGGCCGTCCCGCCGCCAAGCGTAGCCGACATGCTGTCGAGGGGAGCCGACAGAACGGCGGGGACTGATGGTCGGCCGAGAGCGACCGAAGCTCTGGCGAGGGGCGCAGACGCTCTGGCGGGAGAGGCCGGCGTGGTGCCGACGGACGCGGAGGTCCTGCCGAAGGAAGCCGGCCTGCTGCCTGGCGGGCTCCAGCTGCAGCTGCCGACCGAGCTCGACGCTCTGCCGAGAGGATCCGACACCTTGCCCGCTGGAGTCGACGCGCCGCCGTTAGGAGGCGACATGCTGCCGAGAGGGGCCGATTCGCTGCCCGCCGGAGCCGACATGCCACTGTTAGGAGCCGACATGCTGCGAAGGGGAGCCGATTCGCTGCCCGCCGGACCCGACATGCTGCCGTTAGGAGCCGACATGTTGCTGTTGAGAGCCGACATGCTGCCGAGAGGATCCGCAATTCTTGCCGAGGAAGCCGCCGTGCTGGCGGGAGCAGCCGAGGGGCAGTCAGATGGAGCTGACCTGCTGTCGGCCGGTGAGTCAGATGGAGCTGGCCTGCTGTCGGCCGGTGAGTCAGATGGAGCTGACCTGCTGTCGGCCGGTGAGTGAGACGGTGTTGACTTACCGTCAACCGGTGATTCAGACGAAGCTGACCTGCTGTCGACCGGTGAGTCAGACGGTGCTGACCTGCCGTCGGCCGGTGATTCAGACGGAGCTGACCTGCCGTCGCCCGGTAAGTCAGACGGAGCTGACCTGCCGTCGGCCGGTGAGTCAGACGGTGCTGACCTGCCATCGGCCGGTGAGCCAGACGGAGCTGACCTGCCGTAGGCCGGTGAGTCAGACGGAGCTGACCTGCCGTCGGCCGGTGAGTCGGACGGAGCTCACCTGCTGTCGACCGGTGAATCGGACGGAGCTGACCTGCCGTCGGCCGGTGAGTCAGACGGAGCTGACCTGCTGTCGGCCAGTGAGTCAGACGGAGCTGACCTGCTGTCGGCCAGTGAGTCAGACGGAGCTGACCTGTTGTCGGTCTTAACACGGACCGCCGCTCCACAGCCGGCTGACGCGCGGTGCGAGGTTGGGGGAAGGGGGCTCGGTCTGGACAGGGTACAGCTGTGACCATTGCCGCACCTTCCTTTTCCACCGCGGGCGGGAGATGGGAGAAGACAGGCTATTGACGAAAAGGACAACCTGTTAACTTTTCTCAGCCAGGCGGGGATAAATTCTGTCAGATTGTGATCCATAGGCAGATTGTGTCCTCAACGGTAACTATGGCGACTTGGGCGTATCGTCCCGGTGGGTTATCACTGCTCCTGATTGAAGTACGAAACGGCAACACTATTCCTGTCGTAGGTTTAAAAGCGCGTTCTCGTACCATGATTTTAACCCAGTTCAAGGAAGAATAACGTTTTGCAACGTTTTGGTGCGTTCACCCTGTTCAATGCGCCGCCTTGCGCGTCTTGTGTGCGCCTGTCGATGACGGCCCGCGGCGGGCGTCCGACAGGAGCCGACACGATGGTGCAGTTCGTGCGCGAGACGCCGTCCGGAGGCTTCGAGGCGGTCTCGGTGGCCGAGGCGGCCCTCCTCTTCAGCCAGCCAGGCAGCTCGTACCAGGTGCCGTTCGGTTATAGAGCTATGTAGAACACGTACTGTGGTTCCGGCTCACCACACGGTAATGGAGTTCGGAAAGAGCCCGTGTCGGCAGACGTATTTTGTGTATGTATGAGCTTGACCGGTATTGTAATTGAATTGACCTGTATTGACCTGTATTTAACCGGTATTGTATTGCAAACGTTGGGGTTTGTACGTTGCGATATTTCTTCTCGGATTGTTGTCTGCTGCATCAGGAGTGACCTTGAGAAAGTGTTCTTTTGGTACACGAATTGTCTGCTGCATCAGTGGCGACCTCGGGAAAGTGTTCTTTTCGTACATTCATTTTTTGCATTATCAATCCATGAAGTTAAAGCAGTGTGAATGGTCTAAGACAACCATTTTCGTAATTGTCAATCAGTACGGTGTTCCGGCTTGCTGTTTCATGACATGTGGACACTCATGATAATCAACTGTCCGAACGTGTCCCGGCCCTGACCCCAACGTAGCGTCTCTGCCTTCTCTCACTCCATGGCGGCCTCTCAGCCGATCTCAGAATGCTGGCACGTGTTGTGCGTCCCCCGCCACGTCGTGGACGGGGCCTTGACACCCAAGTCGGCTGTGAGACAGCGCCGGATCCAGGGCGGCCTTTCTGACCCAGATGCGTCCCGCCAACGCTGCGGTGTCGCATTACCGCCGAGCATGGACATGGTGTCGGAACGGGCTCGCCTGGTGTAAACAAGCCCGCCTCGGCCGGTGGCCGGCCGCCGGCTTTTTGAGAAGAGGCCGGCTCATTGCGTCATCCGAACGCCCTGGTCCAGTTTGGGCTCCGGTCACTCCGTGTTACTTGTACTCTTTTTTACTTTTAACTCCGGTTACGGGGTTACTCGGAAAGAGAGCTTGCTCGTGTAGTGCTTGAGTGTAACGCAGTGGAAGTGATCTCCTCAAAGGTCTGTCCGAAAGCTGTGTGGAATGGCAGCGCTCTTCGCAACGGCCCAGGGGCATATATTAACTGAGCATTCGAGAACATCTCTTACCTTATTCAGTCATTGCAGCTTGGGTGCCTGAATGTTGTTTCCCCGTGATGGCATTGTCGTCGTCTCTGCTTACACCCTCGGCACACCACCGGGTTCCACGAGCCCGCGTGCAGCCTCGCATAGAGTACCCACGTTAAAAGCACTCTTTAAAGGCGCTGTCTGCGAAGCAGAAGGTGCTCTTTAACCTAAGACTCCTCTCTGAATTGAATACCCAGTCTTCTGAGCGAGAGTATGGTCTGGCCGGCTACGGGACCTCATGTGCATAGCACGCTGTGGAAAACATCACTGCACCCGAACATCTCATCACCTGACGTTGCCGAGGAGCTGTCTGCGTCCCCATGACGTCTCAGGAGCGCCGGCGGCACGACGATTTTTTCAGTGGAGCTGCGACTGTCTGATGACATGGTAATCCCCAGCTCCCAGCCTGGACTGGCCGGGAGCCCGCCCGCCCGCCCGCCCGCCCTGTCTATTCATCGCGCTCGCTGACAGTACGGCGTTTGCGTGCTGTCGATGGGGGCGGGGCGGGAGCTCGCCGGGTGCCCCCGCCACCCCGCGCGTCTCGTGACTCCTCGGGCCGTGTTCCAGATCCTGCCCGGGGAAGACCGGCACTCGCCGTCGGTGGCGCCGCTCTCCCGCTGAGGGCGGCGGCGCCCGCTGGCCGCGCGCGCACGGGCTAGTGATAGTGCGGCCGTGAGTCGGTCCGGACGTGTTCGCGCCATCCGCCGCCGCCCACGCGCCAAAGTAAGCAGAGGCGGGAGGGACGCGATGGCGGTTGCCATGACAACGCCATGTCCGGTTGGTATGGCTGATTGTACGGGTCCTGCAGCCGTCGGAAAAGAGCATGCAACGAAGACGGTGCGGTGATTCTAAGGTTGTGCTTCGGACGGGAGGTTCCCTCTAACTGATCTTTTAAGCGTTAACCTTCGTAACGTTTATTCATGAAACGAATACGGTGAGGTGATTGTAAAGTTGTGATTCAGGCGAAGTGATCTCTCCAACTGATCTCTTAAGCATTAGCGTTGGTAATGTTAGTTCCTGCAACGAAGACGGTGTGGCGATTATAAGACTGTGGTTCGGAAGAGATGTTCTCCCCAACGAATCTCTTGTTCGTTAGCGTTCGTGGCTGTTCGTTGTGTTGCGCTATGCCGCGCTTTAGTACTATCTCGCCATTAGGTCCAGAAGTCACGTGATAGCCTTCACCCCATGCCATTGCGAGCCAGCGGCTAGTCATATCATACCACCGTTTTGTGATTGCGCAGAAGTTTTTCAATAAAGCTGTTTGTGTGTCTGCAACACGGTGTGCATTTAAGAGAAGACTAAGAGAAGAATGTACCTATAACACGGTATGCATTTAAGAAAAAACGAAAAGGAGAATGCAATAGCTTTTGGGTTCTACTGACTCCGAACGTCGTAAAGCGGGTCTTACCAGTGCGGTTCAGACTTAGACATTTGTAGCGCATCAAGTTTCTTGAAGGCATGTGTTGCTCCCAGTCTGTTACTCCGACTTAAGCCTGACATGATGCTCTTTTGGCTAACTAGAGAAATAAAAAGTGCATGTAACCGGCCAAACATGACAGTTGTGGACGCTGCACGACCTACAGCAGTCGATGTGCCCCAAACCAAAAACCATCATCATCAGCAACCCTTCGGGAATATTGCAGAAGCAAAGGCTTATGGTTTCGTATCGCTTGGAAATGTCGACATGCGCAAGAGAGAATGGAATGCTTGAAACACCGTTATTACCAAGGGCGTATACAGCAGGCGTCCTAAATTTAACAACGGACCTGTTTGTGTCGCGTAGGAGTCTACACGGTTCACCTCAAATCCCGGTGAGCACCCTCCCCATTCCAGGGTTTTTAAAGTTTTTAGGTCTGGTCAAGAGCACTGAGCCTGCTAAAACTTTCGCGGGCGATGGCCAAGGACTTCGCCGGGCGTCAGCTGCCGCCGCTGGTCGGGTCCCCTGCACGAACTCCGTTGGGCATTAGCTGGCACCGTTGGTCGGGTCTCCCTGCACGGACTCCGCTGGGCATTAGCTGCCGCGCTGGTCAGGTCCCCTGCACGAACTCCGTTGGGCATTAGCTGGCACCGTTGGTCGGGTCCCCCTGCACGGACTCCGCCGTGCGTCAGCCGGCGCCGCTGGTCGGGTCCCCCTGCACGGACTCCGCCGGGCGACAGCTGCCGCTGCTGGTCGGGTCTCCCGGCCTAAAGCTGGTGTCGCTGGTCGGGTCTCCCTGCCCAAAGCTGGCGCCGCTGGTCGGGTCTCCTCCCCGAAACCGATCGCAGTTACTCGGTGTTGTCAATGCAAATGGATGATCGGGTTTTCAGTTGAATCCATTTCGTAGTGTTAACAACAAACGTTTTGCACATTCTCTTAAAAATAACCCTATGCCAACACCGCAGGACACGGCAACACCATTTCACATTATCACATCACACAAATCGTACACGTCCTCGCATTACATGCATACCAGGTTTCCGACCACGCTCCGTCTCTCACTACGCCAGTTGTTTGATCTGAGCTGATCTTGCCGCCCCTCCCGCACCCCATTTTCCTCCCAGATCCCTCGCCCTTTCCCACATCACATATCTGTCTGGCAGCCTTCGATCTGGTGGTTTCCTTCCGTCTTTTCTTGTTTTGGCGCCTTAGTTTGATTTGATCAGTATCGTGAATTAACGCAGTTTTGTCTCAAATTCTGTCATGTTGGTATTTTTATTGGCAATTCACCATTCATTTTCCAAGTCACGGTGTCTCCTTAAGACCCGAGTAACTTGGTTTCGCGTCATGGAAGACAGTTTGACAGGCTGGTGCATGATTTGGTGAATAATTTGGTTTAGACAGATCGGTGCATAATTTGGCATTGGAGGTGTTGAAATTTCGTTAATTTGGTGCGACAATAAGTAATTGTAACTTTTGCCGCTCAATACAGAATTACGGCTTACAAAAAGTACAATACGAAAATACGGTACGAAAAAAATACGATACAATACGAAAATACAGCTCATAGTATCAATTTTTGATATCGGTGATATGAATTTTCCATATCATATCATTTCTTTGCCCATCTTGGTATAGCTTTTGTCCGATTCCTCCCATTGCAGCCAGGTTAAAGTCAGAGCTTCGTACTTCAGCGATTTTTTCGATTTCTTCTCTAGAAATAATGTTGAATCTCTGTCAGTCGCGCTCAATTACTTGCCTGGATCGTTTGCTCTCACAATTTTCCACGCTCGCATATCTCGCAAAAAATATCGACACCAGGCATTGCAGTCTCCATAGGCCGCTCAGCGTCGGCTCGTGGTTAACACCAGGTCATGGTCGACAGGTGGACGGAAATGCTGACCCATTTGAAAGAGGTACCATTAAACGCCTTAGGACATAAAATTGCAAATTTCTGTTGATATTTGGCTTTTGCGGGACTGCGAAGTAGTGCTGTAATCGGGTGGTGAAACTGATGCAGTTAAGGAAGAATCTCTATTTTTCCGTGCTGCTGTAATTGTAATATTTCCAGAGGACATCCTTAAGTTGTAAAAAAGATTTACACAGTCTCGTCTTTTAGCTGTACGAATTAATTTAAAAGGCATTCAGAAACGTTATTTTACGATGGTCGTTGCGCGCACGGCGCCCGCCGTTTGGCGTTGCTTGCAATTGCCAACGCCGTTCGGTTTTACGGAAAGTGCGACCCAGACTATGGCTGTCCTTGCTACCCGAGATTGCCGACGTGTCAGTGGGGCTTTACGACTCAGCTGCTAACGCTAGATGGCGTTTCCTGCCTCTCATCCTGCCAGGGACGGCGTGGACCACGAGGAATCGAACCCCGTACCTCTGGTTTACCAGGCGCGCAGAGGTTAACGTAGGCCGGTTCACCACTACCCTATCGGTACCCAGCGCGCAGGCTCAAACATTTTGATGTTATTGATTTCACTGGTCGATTATGCCGGAGAATGAACGTTTTCAGGCAAACATGGAACTGTCTTGTCCTTTTTTGGACTCATTTCGACTCACTCCATTCAACATTAATGATGTCCCTTATTTCTTTCCACGCAAGGGGTCATCTTGAGTAGAACACTAAGGAGCACATTGTTCTCAGTCAAGGATTGAAGGGCTATTCTGTCCCACTGCGGTGTATCTTCCGACCGTTATTCTGGCGACACGAGGCGGAATCCTCGGCCGATCCGGAGGTCCTCAGAAGGATAATCATGTCCCGTTGGTCCGCTTCCTGACTCGGGAGGCCTTCTGATACGCACAGTTGGCCCCGGATCGACGCAGTAAACCTCACTGACGCAACGACATCCCTGATCGCCACAGATGGTCAAATAATGCCTAGTCCGGCTGAACGGACCCACGCTGATATTGGGATGGGGTCCACCGTTCGGTACTGAGAACCATGACTGGCACAGGCCCCTTCCATCACTTCAATGTAAGCACTTATGATAAGCTCTCATGTTCCGTCCATTGCCAAAGGGTCCCGACCAACGTAAGAGGCCCTCTATCATTCGGGCTCCCGTCGTCGTTCCCGTTGAGCAAAGCTTACCCCGACCGATTTGAGGCCCGTTGTTGACACATAATACCCCGTTAGGCACTGTGGGCCCCTGTGCGATACAATAGCCCCGACCAATATAAATCGCGGGCCCAGCCTTGTTTGTCCCTGCTTGGGAAATGGGCCCCCAGAGCTCAGACCACACGGAACCGACTGTTCGTTGTTGGTGAGCTCTGGCGGACATAGAGAACGCCCTGCCTCAGGAGCTCATATCGGTGCGAGAGGTCCTCTTACTTGGATTTGAGATCACGGCATCATGGGCGGGAGTCCTAAATGTGACCTACAGCCAGCCCTCCGGACCTTTTAGCCTTCCAATCGGGCCGTTAATATTTAGTCTCTTCCCTTTCGCTTCGACCTTCAGACCTCTCTTCGGGTCTCCTTCGAGACCGCTCCGACTCGGGGTCACTTGCCGCCACAGGACCCCCGTTAGGCGCTAGCCCCTGACCAACACAGGAGCCCTTCGTTGTGTTATGGACTGCAAACGTTGCAAATCGCGGGCTCTGGCCTCGTTCCTGCCTGGAAAAGATGTTTCAAGGGCTGAGACTGACTGTCAGACAGACAGAATCAGATGACTGTCCGGTATTCGTGGTCGGACCTCTGACATTCCGGGTCACGACCATGGGCCATGATTCTTTATGTGACCCACAGTCAGTCATTCGGGCCCATACATCCTCCAACCGGGCCTCTTATCGTCGGTTCCAGTGGGCCGCCCGGGCCCCTCTTTGGGCTTCATCAAACACGTTCCTGGGTCGACTTGGGGCCCTTGCGACTACGGGACCCCCCGTTAGGCGCTGTGGGCTCCTGACAGATACAAGGCCCCCGACCAGTGATCTCTGGCCCCGGCTTTGTCGCTGCTTGGGAAGTGGGCCCCCAGGCCCACACCGATACGGAGGCGACTGCACGGTACTGGTGTTGTCTGGCCAATCTATTTGAGGGCCCACCCCTGCACAGCGGGCTTCTAACTAAGACTCCGACCAGCCTCTCGTGCCTCTAGAAATTCCAACTGGGCACTGGATCGTCGAACCCGGTGGTCCCTCTAGGATCTTTGGGCCTCCTCGAACACTGTCTCTGACCGACTCGGGGCCGCTTGCCAACTCAGGGCCCCAGTGGCTGTGGGGCCTTGACAGACGCTGGGACCCGACCAATGTAAATCACTGGATCAGGCTTTATTCCTGTCTGGGGAATCGACTTTCAGGCCCATGCCGCCACGGCTGCGGCTTCGTGTTATTGGTGGTGTCTGACCAACATGTAGACCCATGTAGACCCTCAAGTGGCCCGTGATCAGCGCGCAGGGCCCTCTGGCTGGCATTGGGGTGCCCAGCATGCGGGCCAGGGTCACCGAATGCGACGTCCGGCATGTCTTTCGGGTCCCTTGGGCCCCTTTACATTTGAGGCACCACATTTCTACTTAACATTTTACTTTCGGGTCTACGGCCGCCATTAGTTTCCGGGGGACCTTTGGGCCCCCGGAACCTAGTGGGGGGGGGGGGGGGGGGGGCAGGTGCCCCGTATGCCTCCTCTGCTCATGCTATTACCCAAGGCCACATAAGAAAGCCAAAATGCTGCCCTTATTTAGCACCACATTAGGTGGATGTTTGATGGCATTCGCTCAAGTTCGCCTTCCGCCAGTTGCAATTAACGCCAAAATGCAGCATTTCTGGGC